GGGTGGCATAGGCCTGTCCTAAGACCAATTCCACTGCAGGGAACATACCCAGGAGATAGGAGGACATGACCGCCACCACGGCAGCTAAATTCATAAAGACCCTCAGTTAGAAATACCAGTAGAATGGATACACGGATCTATTTGTACAATGGAATACTACTCAGCAACGAAAAGGAAAGAACTACTGTTACGTGCAGCAACATGGATAAATCTCACCGACCTGATGAGAAAGAAACTAGACACCAAAGAGTAATACTGTATGATTTGTTTTTATGAAGTTCAGTTACAGGAAAAAGGAATCTCTGGTGATAGAGGTAAAACAGTGGCTACCACGTGGAGTGGTGACTGGCTGAAGGGGATGAGGAGGTCCTTAGGGGGGTGGCACCGTCTGTATCTTCATCTGTGGTTGGTTTCAGGGGCATATACGTATGTAAAAGTTCACTGAGTTGTACACTTCAGACTTATTCATTTTATTGTATGTATATTATGGCTCAATTAAAAAAAAAATAAGTGTCCACGAAAGCAAGCCATTCTGATACATAAGCCAGGTCTATCTGAGCTTGTTATGTTTCAATCAACATTAGTCAGCAGGGAGCCTCCTGAAAACTCATGAAGAAAGTGTCAAGAATTCTCCCATGGTCTGTGTGAGCTCTGGAGGAACTGATGGCTGGAGGGGTTGTGATCAGACCTCAGGGGAGGGTGCAGGCGGCTTGGGGGTGAGAGGCCACGGTCAGCTGAGGGGTGGTGCCGTGGTGGGGAGGGCTGGGACGTGAGGCCCCATGGCAGTGGCAGCAGGTGAAGGCACCCCGACTGACCTCTCTGGGCTTGGGCACCAAGCTGGGACATACTGCTCCAACCACCTCAAGCTCTACAAATCCCAAAAGCCAAATTTACCCTCGTTCTTTGAAAATAAGATCTTCTTCCTGTTGTAGGCAACTTTATCCTTGTGATTACGCACATGTGACCACCAGGGAATTACCTTTGATCCCTCTCTCCCTTTCCAGAATGGTGTTTGAGCCTTTCCACGTGCCGACAGCCCATTCTCGCATCTGTTTATCCCCCAAGAACTTAGTCTTGTCCAGGATATGACAACAAGAGTCCTTTTCGTTTACCAGTCGCTACGTGCTGGGCACTGCGCCAAACAATTTACATGTGCTGTTTCACTTAATCTTTGCAAAAATTAAAGCACAAAGCAGGTAGAGTATATTTGCACTTTACAGATAAGCAAACTGAGGTGTGGAAACGTTAAGTAACTTGCCCAAGGCCCCAGAGCTGGTGGATGGTAGGGCTGGGTTTCAAATCTGGTTCTACTCCAGGCTTGCTGCCTGCCCCGGTGCAGTCTTTGGCTTCTTTCTATCAGCAGCTCCTAGCAAAGCCCTTTCACTTTGAAAGGCGCTCAAATAAGTAATTTTGTCATTGCTCAGAGATCCTGATTGGACAGAACGTAACAGGAGTTTGTGACTAAAGAAGATCTAGCTGCTGTCACTGGGGGACGTGCAGAGGTAACAGAGAAGGAGAGATACCAAATGACTTCTAGCGACCTCCAGAATGCTGTCGGCCGAGGACCACCCCCCTAGGTTTTGGGTCTGGTCTTGACCTTCTCCCAGACACGGGGCTGCTGCTTACAGTCCAGTGGGGCAGGGAGGAGGAAAGGAACAGAGGAGGCGCAGTTTAACCCAGGTCCCAATTCCAGCTCTGCTGGTGCCCAGGGAAATGCCAGCTCATCCACTCAGGGGGGCGACAGACATTTCCGTGTGCCTCACATGGGAACCTCACAACTGTGCTGAGAAACAATGGTCACCCACAGTCCTAAAATACCTGTGATTGGCACACGCTTCTGAACACTGCCCACACTTCCATCATCAAGATGCGGCCTGGCTGTGGCCTGTGGGGAACATAAAAGCTGATGTGCAAATATCTTTAGGCACGTGGAGCAGCTGTCTGGAGGAACTGACTAATCCCCCGCAGAAACTTCAGCATGAAACACGCGTGCCATCTGCAGAGCACACCGGCAGATACACACCAGGCCCTTCCTGCCTCGTAAAGTGGCCCGGGCAGGGCAGACCCTCGGGAGGCATTTTGTAAACAGCTGGGCTGTCTCAGAGCTGGCAAATGAAGGTCTTCCAACTCCCTCACACATGCACTTTAGAAGGTGCCCCTTAAAAACCTTTTCCATAAAATAAAGGGGAAAAGGAGCTTACGGCTAACCTTCTCAATTTTTATTTTCTGTTCTTTGAATCACTGTCTTGATGAGAGACAGTCAGCATAGCTTAAGAGGGCAGATGCGATAGGGCCAGCCATACCTGGATTCAAATCCTGCCTCTGCCCTTTTACTAGCTGTGTGACTTTGTACATGTTACTTAACCCCTCTGAGCCTGTTTCTATCTTTCCCGCTCGGGCCTGGCACTGGGTAGGTATCCTATAAACACCCCTGCTCCTTCTTTTTCCTCCCTTGCAGCATTTCTTTTATTCTCCTTGAAAATCCCGGGGCCCCAGTCTTTGTTTTTTTTCACCCCGGTTCAGTTCTCCAGTTCATTTACTTCTTCTTACTTATCTCCTTCCAGTGTTTGGCATGGATGGGAAGATACTCGTAAAAGGGAAGAGAGAAGAAAAAGGAATTTTAAGAGGGAAGGGTGGAGGATTCTATTTGAAAATTAAGGGTGTGAAGCTGACCCTCTGAAGGGCGTCAGGACAGCATCTGGGAAGGTGATGGTGGAGGTGAGGAAGCCACCAGAAAGGCAGTCAGGACAGCTCTCCAGGGAGGAAGGGAGGATGGCCAGGGCTGACGGTGGCCACGCAGGCCCTGCCTCACAGCAGCAGCACACTGTGAGGGCACAGCCTCGAGGGGCTCCTGACATGCCTGCCCCCGGACTCCAATCACCCAGGGCCACAGCCAGGGGCATCTCACCCCGTGAACTAAATACCCAGCCCTGTCAACAGCGTCCCTGCCAGCATGCTCGGGCTTCTGGCCCTGCAACCTTCTCAGTTATTGATGGTTCAAGGCTGTTAACAACAAATTCTAGAGAGTCCAGAGCCCAGGAGAAGGGGAGAAACAAATCCTGAACTGCTCCCTCCAGCCCCAGAATTCCACTCACACACGGAACGATGCTGACACGACCCACTCCACTCCCACCCCTTCCTAAATCAAAGATTCATGTCTCACAACCTTCACCTGCTCTCCTCTCCGTCCGGGTCCGTGAGCTGGGATCTCACAGGTTTGCCTCAGGATAAACTCTCATTTAGGCCCAGGTCTCAGACCCGGGGGCACTTCAGACCCTCGTAGCTCATCTTAACTCAAGATCACATCCACATTCCTCTTTGGACTGTGGAGCCAATCAAAGCTGCCTGTGCGCCTTTGATTAGTGATATGGCACACCATCTGGCCCTGCGCTGGTGTGTGTGTGGTGTGTGGTGTGTGGTGTGTGCTGTGGTGTGGTGTGGTGTGGTGTGTGTGTGTGTGTGTGTGTGTGTGTGTGTGTGTGTGTGTGTTTTGCTTGTTGTGTGGGCATTTGGCTCCAGTGTGTGTGTGTGTCTGCGTGGGTTGGTGGGTTGTGGGGTGTGTGTGTGTGTGTGTGTGTGTGTGTGTGTGTGTGTGTGTGTTTTGCTTGTTGTGTGGGCATTTGGCTCCAGTGTGTGTGTGTGTCTGCGTCTGTGTGTTGCTTGTTGTGTGGGCATTTGGCTCCAGGACAAGAACTGCCACGTGCTGGGGAAATTCAAATAGCCGAGCTGTCTGACCGACCTGTAATTTAGCCTTTGGACAGCATCTGTGCGAGGCAAGGTCTTAGTTGAGCGTTTTTCCTCATCACTTGAGACTGCTGAGAAGGATAAAAGGAGGGAAGAACTGGCATGAAATGAAAGAATTAAAAAAGAAGGAAAGAAAGAAGGAGAATGGCAGAGGTGGCCATGATAACCTCTAGTAGAAAGCACTGCCCTGTAATCCACTCCGGTCACTGCTCAGCTTTGCTCGGAATGACTAGGCTTTGGTTAAAAACAATAACAATGAAGGTGACCCCTTTCCTTCACACACGAGCATTATCTTTTCCATGAGGAGCCTACACTGACTGCAAACTGCACACTTAGTTCCACACATTTATCCTTTGACCACTACGTGACGTTCCAGGAAGAAAGGAAATAACGCCGGGAATTCCCTCCCCAGTATCTAGCGCTCTAGAAGCATCTGAAAAGCTGTCCCACTGGAGTGGCTGCTGGTTTGAGATGTATTTTATGTAGAGGTTAATTCCTATAAATCTTTGGAGGAGGCAGGATGGAGGGGATGATTAAAGGAGGTGGAGCTTCTCCGGGGACTGAGTTATTCTCTTCTGTCGGCCCTCTACATCCCCTTTCTACTCGTCTTCTCCCTGCTCTGGACCCATCAGGACTCATCAGTGGGCTCCTCTGACCGCTGGCTCTAGTGGGGTTTGGCAGAAGATCTGGAGGAGGGCTGAAGAGTGAGCTCGGCCACGCACCCCCCAGATCCGCCTCAGCTGCCCGTCTCCACCCGAGGGGGCCTCTCTGCACAGCTGCTCGTTCTTAGTTCTGGTGCTGTTACCAGCTCTGGGATGCCGCATCATGCCCTGTCGGTTTGCCTAAACCCTGCCTGGGCCATTGTAAATAACTCCTTTACTAAATTCTCCAATGAGCGTGCCTTCTGTTTTTGGCTGAGACTTCGATGGAGTGATGAGCTACTACTCGACTGCTCTCTTGGCCTTCCGCAGCCCTGTCCTCCCAAGGCAAAGTGTCCCGAGCCTGGGTGCAGGGAGGAGGGCGGCACGAGCCAGGAGGACATCAGCAGACGCTCACGCACCAAAAAGCAACATCTCGTTCACGCACTGAACCCACAACAGTCTCCCACCTGCAGAGCTGTCAGATTCCTGCCAGATCAAGAAGGAAGAACCCAGCCAAAGAATGACAGTCCAAATATTTTCCGGAGGAAGGAAGGAAAGGAGGGAGGAAGGGCTGAGTGGGATGTGACCAGGAGCCTTCCTCATTCAAGCGCCCACCTTGTCTTGCTGTGTACTCATTGTCTTCGATCAACCTGGCCAATCCGAAGTCGGCGATCTTGCAAATCAGTCCATTCCCCACGAGAATGTTTGCTGACCGCAGGTCTCTGTGGATATAATTCATGCGCTCGATATACGCCATTCCCGCAGCAACCTGTGGAACCCGAGGAACACACGTTACATGTGGCTCCATGCACTCCCACGTCAGTAAATCTAAGGCAGGAATCGAGGTACCACAGGGCCTACCTGTGCTGCCATGTCCACAAGGTTTGGTAACTTCAGAGCTCTTCCTTCTCCATCTTTTAAGAAATCGAGTAAACTTCCTATGAGCAAAACATAAAACCATTTTGCTTTCCTTTGAAAGATAAAAATTCCTGACGAAGGGCTGTATTTGGTTTTCTTATTAGAAGTAACAAGGTAATTAAATGAAATAGTGCTATCGATAAAAAAAAAAACAGGGCAGAAGAAACTCTATGCATCGGAAGGCAGCAGTTTTACCTTTTAAAAATAAACTATTGGGCTTCCCTGGTGGCGCAGTGGTTGCGAGTACACCTGCCAATGCAGGGGACATTGGGTTCGTGTCCTGGTCCGGGAGGAGCGGCTGGGCCCGTGAGCCATGGCCGCTGAGCCTGCGTGTCCAGAGCCTGTGCTCCGCAACGGGAGAGGCCACAATTGTGAGAGGCCCGCATACCGCAAAAAAAAAAAACAACAAAAAAATAACTATGGTGGGACTTCCCTGGTGGTCCAGTGGGTAAGACTCCGAGCTCCCAATGCAGGGGGCCTGGGTTTGATCCCTGGTAGGGGAACTAGATCCCACATGCATGCCGCAACTAAGAAGTCCTACAGATCCTGCATGCCACAACCAAAAAACATGCCGCAACGAAGATCCCGCGTGCTGCAACTAAGACCTGGTGCAGCCAAAGTAAATAAAAATTTTGAATAAATAAATAAATAAAAACCTGATACCTTTAAAGAAAAAGCTATGGTGACTCCATTTCTAGGGACACCAGAAATGGGATTAAAACTAGAAAAAAACAGGACTCAATTCCCTTTATGTCACAGGAAGAACATACTGAAAGGCTGCACCACTTCAATCTCATTCCCAATCAGCACCCCCAACAAGAGTGAAGTGGGGACAAGAGCGGCCAGCCGAGTGGTTCCCAAAATGTGGTCCTGGACCAGCAAGAATGGCAACCCCGGGGGAACCAGTTAGAAATGCAAACTCTCGGGTCCCACCCCACATCTACTGAATCAGAAACTTGGGAGTTCTGGCCTAGAAACTTGTATTTTAAGAAGCCCGTTAGGTGACTCTGATACAAAGTAAAGTTTAGAATCACTGGCCCAGCTTACTGACAGATTTTAAATCAAGAAAATAGTATCTGAGGAATACAGGGTGGGGCAGGTAGCTCCCCACATTAGATCACGGCCAATCAGGCCTTAAAAGATATCTGAAACAAAACGGCTGGAGCTTCGGAGCCACTGTGATGACACAGCCTAAGGAGCTCAGAATGAACACTGGGGCTGAAACAATCACAGGCAGAGGCTGGAGGCTCAAGTGATCATTGGTGACTTTTTTCATGCTTTAATTGAAAAGTTATTTATCAAATAACCCTGGGTACAAAGGACAAACAATCTGTCAGAGAATAATTCCAAATATATATATATATATTTTTTTTTCTTTTTTTCTTGCGTTATGCGGGCCTCTCACTGTTGCGGCCTCTCCCATTTGCGGAGCACAGGCTCCGGACGCGCAGGCCCAGCGGCCATGGCTCACGGGCCCAGCCGCTCCGCGGCACGTGGGATCTTCCCGAAACGGGGCACGAACCCGCGTCTCCTGCAACGGCAGGCGGACTCTCAAGCACTGCGCCACCAGGGAAGCCCCCAAATATATTTTAAAAGAAAGTACGTGGAAAGGAAAAATTACACTGGTGTCCTCCGATGTACAACGAATTGCCTTTTAAGGCTGTTTCTTGTTTGGTTCATCTATTTTTCCAAAACAAAGCGATCTTTGGCCTTATCCCCAACAATACTGCTTTGATTAGAAAGAGAGAAAAAGAATGAGACTAAAATGTGCTCTTTAAAAGCATGTCTTTCTACGTCTGATGTTTAAGAAGAGAGCTGAAAAAAAAAAGATGTTGAAAAAGGGAGACTAAATTTAACCCAGAGATCAGTGTCTGATATTAATTGTTCAGCCCTGCAAAAAATTTAATTTTTAACACAAGCTCTGGCATTCCAAATAACAGCAAACTATTACAGCTCTCTGTATCACCCCTGATACTAAAAATGAATTTCTTTAATTATGGAGAGAAGCTGGAACTCCTGACACATGCAGCATGCAAAAGGTACTGCGCTTCACAAGAATCTGGGGGGCAAATTCAAGGTCATAGACTGTTCTTAAAATGTTTTCATTACTGAGCGCACAATTTGTGCGTCTTGATAAGAATGCTTGATTCATGGAGAAAGGAGGAAAAAAACAAGCAGGCAGCTCCATTGCCCTCCCCAAAACAAGGCTGCAGGTTCCCGTGAGGGGGAGCCCGAGAGGCCTGGCCTGACCTTTATTCATATACTCGGTGACAATGTAGATGGGCTCCTCGGACACCACCGCATAGAGCTGAACCAGTTTGTCATGCTTCAATTTCTTCATGATCTGTGCCTCTTCAAGGAACGATTCAGGGGACATTGTGCCAGGTTTAAGAGTCTTTATGGCTACTTTTGTGTTTCCATTCCAGGTACCTGCAGACACCCCACAATATCAAGTCAAACCAAAGATCCTCTTCTGATGGAAAAAAAAGTTGTTTAGTGAGTAGCTATTTGCATAAGGTTGGATTTTAACTTAAAAAAAACTTAACATATTTTTTTTGTTGAACAAAGACAATCAAATGTAAGGACTCAGTCAAGTATTTTCAACAGGAAAAATGTGTTTAGTTATGGCTATATCATGGTTTATAATTTTTGAAAATTTTTTTGTGATTTTGATATATATCACTTTCCTTTTCTGGCTCAGCCATGTGATTACAAATTTGTATCAAAAGCTCTGGATGGAGACATCTTTTTTTTTCCTTCCAGTTTTACTGAGATATAATTGATATACAGCACTGTATAGGTTTAAGGTGTAAAGCGTAATGATTTATGTACATCACGGATTATCACAAGTAAGTTTAGTGAAATCCGTCATCTCAAATAGATACAAAATTAAAGAAACAGAAACAATTCATTTCTTGAGAACTCAGGATTTATCCTCTAAACAATTTTCATATATAACATACAGCAGCGTTAATTACATTCATCACGTTGTACATTAGATCCCTAGTACTTTCTGGACACTTCTTCATAAGGATGAAAGTCTACGGGTTAGAACAGGACTGGCCATCCAAGAGCCATCCCTTAGGCAGTAGAGTGAGCATGGAGGAAATTAGATTAAGTTCTGTTTTATGGGGTGTGCCATTTAAAAATACATGGCAACACACTGAGGATGTTTGGAGATTACCTCTAGACTTTTAGTTGTCAGCAATGGATAAGCTGCTTGACTGAGTCCCTGAAAAGTTGAGCTAAGTGTGCTGATAAGCATTGGCAAGAAGCTCGCGGTCCACTTGCCAACACTTCAACCAGTAAAGGAAAATTCCTCAAGCTTACGGATGGTCAGCCACAAGAACAATGACTTCTATCAGACAGACTGGAAAAATTAAACAGCAGCTAAGAGGGAATAGAGATACCTGAACTTCACATGTTTAAAAAAAATCTAGGCGGTTCAGAGGCAGGCCTGGTTTATGATCACCATCATTTACCTCATCTGTAAAGTATAGAAATGGAACTAGATTCTCTCTCCAGTCTCTTTCAGCACCAAAATTTAAGAAAAAAAGTCTAAATTCTATGTGTATCCATTATTAGTCCTATGACTTTGAATTAAAACTATTTATAAGGGAAACAGAAAAATCTACTAAGATTATACTGTTTTCTATTTGGAAAAGAGGGCTGGTTTGATTTAACTTTATATTTAATATAACTGATTTTAGAACTAAAAAATTCTATAAAGTGGAGCAACTCTTGTTACCCTATTAAAAACATGATTCATAAAATCACAGCATGCAACCTACAAAAATATAAATTATCAAAGAATAAGTGGTTCAAAGAAGAGTTCATTCAAATCTTATAGAGGACTGACCACTAAACATAAATGGGAAATCTGACACCTTATAAGTGGTCTATGTGAGTGTTTTAGCACCCCCCAAATTTAAATAGAGTGAGATCGTCCTCTCTAATAACAACCCCGTTACTTATACAGCCTTCCATCCGGAACCTGAACTGCCCCAACAAGGTGTTTTATGTTCAGTAGGAAACAAAATCCTAATAACATGTGTAATGATTTAAAATTGGTAATTACAAAGTTTGAAAATAAATTTTTGTATAGGGTTTAAATCTTCCTGATTTTATGAGTGACTGCATTGAAATCCTTAGGACCCACAAATACAATTATAAATTGGGTGGGGATGAGGGAGAGGAAGGCTATATAAATATATTTTACAATATGAGAGTTAAATTCCAGACAGAGATGGACACAATAATGTGGACTCTGAAAACAATTATGATGATAATACTTATTATAATAGCATATGCATACTCACATACACGTGTATATCTGAGTGTGTATCTCTCTCTCTCTCCCCCCCCCCTCTATAGGTAGTATTTACTAGTTGTCAGGTTCTGTTCTAAGTGCTTTAACTGTATTAAATCTTTTAATGCAGACTACATCTAGATACCTATACCACACAAATCAACAGGTACCTACCTATATTGCTTTTAGTTGACTCTAAGAAAGTAAGAAGCAGGATTCCGTAAGCACCAACATTACCTTACTGACAGATGTTTCAGGGTGTTACAAAAGCAGTGGGGAGGGCCAGTGCAGTTGGCCTGATCGATGACACGACAACCAAATTACGAGAGAAGTATGTGTGTCTACTGAACACCTGCTATATGCAAGGGACTCTAAACATACTCTCCATGAAATTCTCAAGACAATCCTAAGATGTAGGTATTATTCCAATTTTACAGATGAGGAAACTGAGGTTCAAGGAGAATAAATAAGCCCCTTGCCCATGGTTAATCAGCTAGAAAAGCTTCAAATCCAGGCTATTGAGCAAAAAAAGTCCATGGTCTTCCCCTTCATTAGCCCAGCTATAGAACCTTACCTTCCCACATCTGAGGAAGAGGAAACAGCAGAGCCTTATTGTACTGGTTTCCTGTTCTGTGCGTGCCTTAATTAACCACATGAAGTAGGATAGAAGGGTATAATCTGGATGGCCTGTGCCCGTCTAGCTATCCAGGTTAAGCGTCTTGGTCCCAACGGCTGTATATGTTTTTGTTTAAAACTGTTCTTTTAACTGGCTTTGAGATGCAGCCAAAACAAAATGTGCCCTCTGCCTTACCAAGCCACACTTCAGCGAAACACCCCTGACCCAGCTTCTTCTCCAGAAACAAGGAATCACGTGCAACTTCCCAAGCATCTTTAGCCAATCCAGAAGTTTGTGGGGTACAACTCGATGCAATCACAGTTAAGTTAAAACACAAACCATCAGCTTTCTCTACAGGAAAGGGAATTAATAAAGAAAACACAGTCCTTATAATCCATAATCATGCATGCACTAGGAAAGATGGGAGGTGACGTGCCCTTTAGGGTGACACTGAGTTCATTTCACAAACATTTGCAGTTGGAAATGAAGGCATTTGGTGCAGGCTAGAATATTCCTTGTAGCATTTACTGGTTTATGAATTGAGGCTCATATAGTGGTATCATTTGAGCCATTTCCCAATCTTGACCAGAATTCTGAAATCAAAATCAAAATTATTAGTAATTCACATTTTCTTCTTGGCCAAAAAGTCTTTATTTTCACCTTCCATCTTTGATGTTTGGGACTTCCCAAACAAGAAAGCTAGTAATAGAGTAATTGAGTCTCAGCATACCCATCCATACTTCCCCAAACTGCCCATTTCCCAGTCTCTTGATCAACTGCAGGGATTCTCGAGGGATTTCCCAGACATCTTTGGTTTTGACAGATAGATCGGTAAGCCTTGGCATCCCTTTGTGACAGGGAACTACTAGGCGGCAGCAGAGGCCTGCGGCTCTCTCTGATGGGGCAGGGACAGCAGCAGGAGGGGAAAAGAAAAGCAAACATGTGAAACAACACTTACAGGTGCACAAACCCAGCCAGCGCACAGCGTTATTCAAAACAGTGCTATGTCAGCAGAGAACTATACACGTCTTGGAAGATTAGACACCACACGCTGAAACATGTTTGTTGGAGGTAGAATAGAGGACGTTTTATATTTGGATGACTGCATACCCCCAGGTCTAATATAGTCTATATGTATATACAGATACAGACCGCTTTGGTTTCTGTGCTCACTGAACAAGAAAAATGTTTTCAGCCCAACGTGCTAATAACATGGCTTCCGGAACTCTGCAAATACCTCCGCTGATTTCAAAAGGCACATCTGGACCACAGAATGTCAGCACAACTGTCTTTTGCCCCTGTCTAATATCTAGGGTTTGGGGATTCTCTTTGCTATGAATATACTTAAAATTGTAACTTCAGAACAGGATTCTTGTACAGAACATTAGACTGTTATAAACTAGTAAGGCTGAAGATTATACCTGGCAAGGGAAAAAAGAGGTCATATTTCTCTAGTGATTTCCTTGGCAGTTTGAACTGACTCTGTTCTACCAGTCAGAAACTCTTGCTTTTTTGATTATTTTCCCTTAAAAAAATCTTTATAACAGTCTCCGATGTATAATTTAGGAGTCTGGTTTGAGAGGAGAAAGAATGGAAACTAAAATTTGCAGAAACTCAAGGATGCGAGAGAACTCTATTTCCTATGAAAAAGAGGAAGGGAAAAAGTCGTTATCACTAATAGGTTATTTGGAAGATTTTTTCCCTTTTTGTCTCTCTCTTTAAAGAAAAAGCCTTTTAGAACCTAGCAGTGGTAAGGGAAAATTGTCTAAATGCCCAGTTAAACATCAGTCAGGTGAGAAAGGTGACAATGGATAAGGAATCAGGGCAGTAACAAAAGCTGCAGAGTGCCTGGCTTGAGGCAGACAGAGCCCCACCAGCTGTACCCCACCAGAGGCCCCTCAAATCCAGGGAAATAAAATGTAGTGTTGCGGCCTTTTCTCCAGGAACCAGCTGCAAGTTCCTTTTTATTCCTTTCTTTTTTGATAGAATCAGGTTCTGAGACATTAAGGCAGGAAATTATTTATGTGTCAATATTTCAAAGGCGTTTTATTGTGTGAGGGAGAGAAAGAGGGAAGAGGAAAAGCCAATATAAAAACAAATCTGTCTCGAGATGGATTTTTTTTGAGATTAAAAAATGCCTATTGCTTTTCATATCCCTTCTCTCCTTCCAGCTTTATGATGTTATTAAGGTGCCCTTTCCAACACAATATTTTCAAATGATCCAAACCCTGGGGATCCAGCTGATGTTTGGCTGTAATGAAATATATTTAGGCATTTGAAAAATCCTTACAACATGCAGGCATTCTGAGTATACCACTTAAGCGCAGGGAGATATTCTGCTCCATTTCTCCCAAGTATTTCATTAGAATCCACATAGACAAAAGATACCCCCTGCCCTAATCAACAAGTACAAGTGTTATTAAAATTTTCATTTGTTCATTACTGCCCAGGATCAAAAGATAGACATTTATTGCCATTTTCAAAAAAATGCCTTTTTTTGGTGCTAAAAAATTATACACACATATTTTTAAGTGAATGAGCATAGAGCAATAGTTGAAGTCAAGCCATGTACTATTTTGGAGTCTCGTCATTGTCCTGAAGAATAATGTAAAATGTATATATGGATCACACAAAAAAAACTGTTGGGTTTAACGGGCCATAGATCTCTATCTGTACATGCATATCCCTATCTATTGGTGTGTACATATTGATATAGTGGGATTGATTGCTAATCTAGGAAAGAAAGCAATCATTCTAACAACTGCACATAAAACCACCTTCTTTAATAAAATGTACAAATCACACACCTAAATACCTAATAACTGTATGTTTCTAGGAACAACAGACTAGTGGTGATGTCTGGGTGTTAGGACAGAGACTGATCTACTGTTTAAAAGTTTAATTTAATACAATAGCTGTAACAGATTTAGGAGCTGTGGATTATATACGTCTAAGTCTAGTTAGGAAATGGAAGTATTGGTGGGGAAGTGGAACATGATAAATAGATTGCGAAAGTCATCTAGTCATGACAATGAAATGCATGTGCAGCCATTCCCGCTACAGCGCTGAGTGTAAAGTAACGGTAGAAACACAGCACACCCTCTAGGAGGCCCCGTGTAAGTGTTCCCCCGGAGACCATACCCTCTTCCTTTCACAGCTCCTGAATTATATTCTGCAGGGGAACAGGAAGAGATAACTTCCAAGGATTTCAAGATGAAGACAAAAAAACAAACAGCTTTTAAAATTTAACCTATTGCTTTCTACTCGGGGAACTTGAATGGTATAATCTTTTGACAAACATATGGAACTAATAATAACTATGGAGGGAAAAACAGTGATAGAACCTATTTGGCCAAGCCCCACCTTGAAGGGCTAGCAAAGAAAAGTATTTTCCTAGTGCCTTTGTATATATTTGTTGTACCTCTTTCCCCTTTCCCGCTCTGGGCCCACCCATACCCTCCAGCATCCAAATGGTTAGCAGCCAGTTAGAATTCAGGTTACCTGAGTAATGTTGTACAAGCTGCTGAAGTGTTTCAAACTGGGCCCGGGTGGTAATATAGTATCCACCGTTGTCAAGTTTGCGAATTTTATAATGTTTGACATGGTCTCCTTTCATATCATCCCAGTCACGAATAGAAAGTGAATAGGCACCTGGGAAATGTGCAAAGCATTAGCAGCTCCAATCATTTTGAGTACCAATTTGTTTTTTGGGTCTCATTTACTTGAGTATTCTGATTAATAATTATCAAGAGGAGACACACACACACACACACACACACACACACACTTCCACTCAGTAACATAGGAAGAAAACACCCTTTTCCTGCAAATGTCAGAAGATATTAGCAATAAAATGATTCTACCCTTGAGAATGAAAGCTCTCTGGATTTTTTCCTGTGATACTCTATTCAGTACACTTGTGCTGGTGAACATGGCATAGACCCAACTCCCCCCGGGGCAAGATGAAGGGAAGCACAGATGTTCACAGCTGAGATTGCTGCCCTAGTCTCCGTTGCCCACAGGGCATCACAGAGGCAGGGGTGGCGTGTACTGAAGAAATCTAAGGACTGTTTCTCTAGAACTGAGCTTGCAATTCTTGCTTCAGAACACTTTTCACAGTAGCAGATAACTAGCGTCTGGTATATCAAGCTAGAAGGCCACTGCTCCTTTTCTTTGGCCCAGCTCCTCTATTGGGTTCTAATGAGCTGTTACATAATGAGAAGGCCTAGCAGATGGAGGAAAAGAAGTCCTCGGTTGTGGAAAAAAACAAAAGAAATGCAAAAAACAACCTGTGTGATTGGTGCCTGAGGAACTAAGAGTTTCAGAAAATCCTAATTCTAAAGGACTTCTGAAGATTCTACGATCTTGCATGCGTGGAGGAGAGAAGCGGTCCCAGCCCCTGTTTCCGGGGGGGGTCTTGATTTTGAGCCTCTGTAGTCCTTTTGGAACTGTCTGCAGTTCTAGAGCCTGGAGGGGAAACTGAATATAGGACTCTGCTCACAAGACAGGGAGGATATGTGCCATTTAAAAACCCTTGTACATTAGAGATAAGCCTTTCATCCCCTCTGACTAATCCACAGATGTGAATGACAAGCCAAGTTCTTCAACTCGTTATCTTACCTTTGGTGGTTTCACTCTCACGGATAAGAAAGGTACCTCTTGGGTTTCCAAAGGACAGAAGCTGTCGCTCAGCATCTTTTCGGCCAAGTTTTCCAAAGTACCACCTTTAAATGAGATCAAGGGAAGGAAATGTTTTATGACGTTCATTTGCAAAAACGGAACAGCATCAGCTCCTCTGCCCGTGACTCCATCCTTAGCCTCACCCTGTGTCGTTTTCCCTAGCCTCATCGAATTCCCTTTCAATCTATTCCTGATTCCATCCCTAATCCATCTCCTTCACTCCTGAAAAACGATCAGATGTGAATTGCAGGTTATTTTTCTTCCCTCCAGAGATGACAGGAACTGGTGGGTTTGTGTTAAAAGTGCCACCCACATGCACAAAAAGAGAAACCCAAGACCTTGTTTTGAAATGGCAACTGCAGGACACCCTTCCCACGCACCTCTACAAGACCCTGGATTTCTGAGCATAATTACAACCCTTGGGAAATAACAAAACACAGTCTTAGTGTCTATAAAGATCATTAATCAAGCATTGAAAAAATGTCAGTCAGAATGGACAAAGAACAAAGACACGGTATTTTCAGTAACTTCCTACCTACAGCAACTCTGAAGGAAGATGGTCAAGGCTACCCCTAATTTGAGATGACGGCTGTCCCTGGATGCCTGTTTCTCTTTTCTTCCTGTGCAGCAGGGGTGAGGACTTGGATGGATAAAAGGCATCTGCTGCATGGCGGGGCTGTGACCTGCCACACGTGACCTCTAGCACAGCTGCAGGGCCAGGTTACTGCATACAGTCAACCAGCGAGTCCTTAAAAACACTCAGTGTCACAGACGTGTTCATACTCTCCCTGTAATGACACTCCCATGCCACTTTAGGAGGCATCACATCACAACACCTGCCGACCTTCCTTATTCATCTTCACCTCCCCCTGCACCCTCCAGCCCTAAGCACTGCCTGGCACTTGGGTAACGTTTCTGCACCAGGTGCTGAGTGAGCAGCAGGTGCTCCAAGAGCCCCAGGGAGAACTTGGTAGCATTCCATCGGAATCTGTGCACAGGAACAATTTTTAGAATATTTGACTGTGAAAGGATCCAGTTTCTAAAATGAAATTTCAATTCATTATACTTGTGCATAGCTATTATGTGTTCACTATCAAATTCTTTTGTGAAAGAAAGAGCTTCCCTGAAGATAAGAAAAGACACGCTGCATGCCAGCTCCTCAGTGACTTTTAAAGGCACAAGACTGCAACAATCCTAACCTAGTGCTAGGTGGTATAAAGGGAATTACACCAATTATTTGTGAGAAATGACTTTCTGGGTTTGTATCAATAACCCAATTAAAATGCAGTGTAAATAGGAACAGTGATGAAAAGAGAACCACTGGAACAGTGGAGTGTACTAAAACAATCGTATTTTAAGATAATGGTAATTAATGGCATATGTAAAACCAAAGGTATTATTTTTAAAATGCTATTTTATTCTTTAAAAACAAAGTACTTAAAAAAACCTGACCATTATAAATGTAACTTAAATATACTGTGGGCAGGATCCCAGTTAAGTCAAAGTAATGCTACATTTTGGTGGTACCTTTTATTCTGAAAGAACACAAAGATGTTTGCAAATCTGCCCTAAAAAAAAGATTCAATACGGATTCCTTTATTCACTGATGATGAAACACACTCACTGAAGGAAAAAAGGAGCTCAGAACCACTGAGTATTTGAGAGTGGGAAACAAAACAGATCTTCTTAGAGGAAATACAGAGGAATTAAAGACAAGAGAGCAATCCCATTGGGGATCTGGCTGCGGTGTGGAGTCTAATCCTCCCTGCGGTGCTTAAACAAACCCAGGGCATATTAAATATCAGAGCCAAAGCCTGGGCTGCGTGGCTGACTTTTCTCAACTACCTTTCTGGTAAGTCAGGCCTGCCCCACCAAGCAGGAGAGGCAGGTCCCCAAGGTGTCAGGGGGAAGGCCCGGGTCTCATGTTTGGGAGATCCTGTCTCCTCGGTTCAGAGGTTAGGGCCACTACAGGAGCCATTCTGACAGTTCTCCACTTTGGAAGTGCTCATGAATCCCCACAGGCCAGGAGGAGGAACCATGGCTGTCCCTTCTAGAATTCCCTCAGCCTATCGACCACCTGCCGAAACTGCCATCAGTGAAATCCTTAGGCTGTTAGTCACGATCTACTATGAAAGAAACCACCCGAGACCTCACATCAAACGAAAGGACCATTTGACATGCATCACCACAGGATTTCCCAAGTGGTAGGATACACTGCATGTGAGTTACTCCTACCTGCGGCGTGGACAGTATGTCTTTTCAGCACCCCTCTAACATTTCTGATTACATGGAGGAGGAAAAGCTCAAATTGATCTTTAACAATTACTTACACCCTCCCCTTTCTCTCTCTCTCTCCATCCCTCCCTTCTTCCCACCCCTCTCCTCTTTTCTTCATCAGACTGCAGGCTTAAATCCTTGGGTTGGCAATAATACATGCTCTAGCTAGAGTTTTATCACTTTCTTATGGTTATTTCTATCTATGGCAAGTAATATTGGGTTTTCATTTAAGGTACTAATATAAAGTTTCTTCTCAAAATAAATGTTTTTTTAAAAGTGAGCAGGCTTTAAGAAAAATATTAAGCTAATAAGGGTACGAGTATTATCCAGATGTGGCAAAAACCATGGCATAGAGCCTGGGAGACAAGCACTGCCACATCCTCTCAGCCCTTAATCGCTCTAGTGAACCACTTCTCCCACTTACACAATGTTAATGGCACTAATCAGGGCAACTAACTTTAAAAGCAAGTAGTTAAGTGAACACAACAAAACATACTCTTCTGCCTGGATGGAGTCAACTGGAGCCACATAATTGCTGGGAATGTAACCAGTCTCTCCAGTTGTCAAGGAGCGTGCTTCCCACCAATCTCCTTCCCTGCAGGGAAAAAAGAGAAAAGGAAGTGAATATGTCGACCATTTCAATGTTTTGCAGTCACAGACTCTGTGTTGTAAGAGCATAGGACTATCTCCTAGTCATTCTACTACCAGATTTCTCCAAACTCGGACACAGCCTTCTGTGTGGGTCAAATGGTTACAATCTGTGTCAGCACAGAGAGGAAGCCAGCTTTGTCTCTCATCTCTTACCTTATTTATGAATTCAGAATGTAGGACCCTGGCCATGAAGGGGCTCTGGTGGGGGAGAGGGCGTTTTGCTTGGTAAGTGTCTCCAACTTACATAGAGGGGAGGGGAGGGGAGGGGAGGGGAGGGAACTCTGCCCCCCCCCCCCGCCCCCCCCCCCCCCCCCCACACCACA